CCTGGCCAGAGAGTCTGCCTCTGAGGTCAGTTGCTGGGGGGTCAGGGTTGGGGTGAGGATGAGGATGATGATAATTTTACTGAGCACTTACTATAGGCCAAGAACTGTAATAATCACTTTTACTGGGTTGGTAGACTCATTTAATCCTTATGATGATCCATGAAGTGGTCATTCTTATCATTCCCATTGTACAGATAGATAAACTGAAATACCAAGTTCAGTTCCTTGCTCTTGGGTGAGGAAGCTGAGTTAAAATCTGAGCAGTTTGTCCCCACCATTCCCCTGCCAGTCAACCAGGCCCTGGCAGAGGGTCAGAGAGAGCTGGCAGGGAGGCCACCCCAAACCATGGACAGCTCCCCATGGCCCCATAGTTGCAGAGCCACGTTCCTGGGACTGGTTCGTGGTACCTTGTGACTACTACCAGTGTCTACCCTTTGTGAAGAGCTCTGCTTTCTTGCAGAGGGGAATTCTCCTTGGGCTGACCCTTAGGGACCAGGTGCTCTGGCTTGATTCAAGTCCCTGACAAGCCCTGTGAAGTTGGGTTCTGAGCCAGGAATATCCCTCCTCACGGTTCTGGAGACCGATCTTCTAAGGTGTGAGAGTTTTCTCCATGGGGGGCCAGTCAGAGAACTGCTCCCCACATCAGCCCAACAGTCATTTCTCCTGTCCAGCCCTGCTCTTTCTACATTTGCCATTACTTCCCACATCCCATTTCTATGGGAAAGCCAGTCCAATCTGCCTTAGCTTCTCCATCTGTGCTTCTGTCATCCCTGCAAAAGTCCAGGACCCAAACTGGACCTGCCCAGTTAGGTCTTCCTCGTTTTGCCAGCTCTGATAGGAGCTGCCAAGTTCACAGCCAGGCTCCCCGGCCCAAGCTGCCGGCCCAGAGCCCCAGCAGGTGCAGCAGAGTTGCTAAGCAACGTCTCCACATCTCTGTGTGTTCCTGTCACATGATTATCGTTGCTAAGGAAACAAGTCCTCTGGCATCCCAGGACGCAGCAAGGCCTAGGCGGTGGTGTGTTACCTGAGGCCTAACAAAAATCTTCCTGTCCCGTGTTCCTGACAAGTTCTGAGTCCCTAACTGCTATAGGGGACTACCAGGTTGATCCTTGCCTTTTACCCAGGCACTGGCTCTTAGAAGGGAGTGTCCAAACTGAAGTCTTGGTCACTCACTGGGCATCCATGGAATCCAGTTCTTAGGGGTGGCCAGTATTAAGAGAGGCTTTTAAAGAAATATATTAATACACCAGGGTTCAGAAGATGATCTTATATCACCAATTCTCCCACTTCTGTCCATAGATTCCACTGTAAAGGCAGAATTTCGGTTTGAATTGGAGGATGGGAAAGGTGAGGAGGGGCAGCGGACAAGAGGGTCGCAGTGGGATCCCAGTACCATAGCAACAAGAGAACCAGAGAGGGTTTTCCCCGGTGTCACCTCCCCACACCTGCAGCTTAAACACCGCAGGACAATGGATGCCACATCATGGGATGTCACAGTCTTCCTGGAGGGCTTGCTTCCCTGGATTCTCCAGTCCAGACTTCTTGGAGCTCCCTCCCCAGGACTGGCCCAGAAATGAGATGAAAATGAGGAAATCTTTCTGAAGGACAAAAAAACAGAGAGATGGATGATAAGAGACAAAATATGAGAGAATTTGAGCACCAGTAAGAAGGTGCAACAAGGGACATCTGGGTGGCTCAGTCAGTTAAGTGTCTACCTTCAGCTCAGGTCAGGATCCTGGGGTCCTGGGATGGAGTCCAGCAATGGGCGCCTTGCTCAGCGGGGAGTTTGATTCTCCCTCTCACTCTACCTGCAGCTCCCCCTGCTTCTTGTGCTCTCTCTCTCTCTGACAAATAAATAAATAAAATCTTAAAAAAAATAAATA